CCATGTGTCTTGACATGGGGACAGAGCGGGGTGACGATTGGGAATAATCCGATAGGGAGTCACCAGCAAACCCATAGCTCACGAGCGTTACAACTATTGACACTATATTAGATGAGATCACGTTTTGTGACACTAACAAATTCTTGTTTTAGTTTGATAAAATTTATTTGTTACATACGACATTTATAGCCAGTTTCCCAGCAACTTTTAACCGTTCGTTATTGTTTTTTGGGCTTTATGAAATCCAAACTATAATTGGAGTTTTACCTTTGAAATTTATATAAACCTAACACTAATGAATCAGTAACGATATTTTTGTATAATAAAAGGGGGCAAACGACGAGGTCACCGAGGTGGTCAACGACGCCAATGGATATCCGCAACACCAGAAGAACTATAGATGCGTTGGCGACCTTTGAGAAAATGGAATTTTAACAGCGGTAGACCCCGCTTTAAATTCTTCGCACGAATGGGTTGACTCGCCCCGCGTAATACCACGACCGCACAGAAAACAGGCGTGAAGTAGAAGCAATTCCACGTTTCGTCTGACGAGTGTGGTGTCGGAGGCCTAATTTTAGTCTCTTTCCCTTCCCACCCTTTTAATCAAAGGAAAGTATGGGAATAAAGAGTGGATTTGACGGTGGAGGAGACGCATAGGAAGGGGAAATGTCCTCTTTATGTACATCTCCTCCTCCGTCAATTAAGGGTAGGCAACGCATCTGCGTTAGCGGTCGCTTTTCATTTCGGTGGATTCGGGTGGCCACTTGCTCGTTTGCTAACTTAAATTATAAAAAAAAATGGTAATCTGGCTTCTTGAAGGACCCTAAGTCGTACTGGTTTGGAAATACCGTCTAGGATAGATCGTTCCACAACGCAAATGCAGTAAGTTCCGCGAAAATCGCAATTTTAAATGGAAACTTCAGCAACCCAGCATTAGTTACATTTATTTTACGATTATATATCGTATTGCGTAATCGACCGACATACGTAACATTTAATCAGTCGCATGTACTTGGTGATGTAATTCTAGGCTAAACAAACCAGATAAGAGCGTCGAGGTAACGCTCACCTATTTTATTGGTAATCGGTAAATAGGTCGGCCGGCGAAGCGAGCGTGTTGCATCGCACGTACTCGTATATACGAGTATGTAACTATATACTTATTATGTGTTTTCAATGTTGGAATACTTGTATGAAAACATATCTTATTAAGGGCCTGTCCCACAATTCTTGTCAATTATCAGATGACAATCCAACGTATAAAATATGTGATGGAAATTTCGGATTTTGGTACTCTATCAGACAGTGACGTCACTTGAAGCTAAGCTTCTAATAGCCGTTAGTGTAACAGGCCCTCAATATTACAAATGCGAAAGTTTAGATGGGTGGATGAAGACGTAACTCAGGAACGGCTTAATGAATGTAGTTGTAATTTGACACAAATGTAGAACATAGTCTAGAAGTACAAATAAGCTACAAGATTTTTTTAATTCCGCGCGGGCAGCTTCGCGAGCGAGAGATAGTCTATAAAACATAGTTTTCAAAGAGTATTTAGCGTTGGACTTATCACCGATCGATGAGCTCAATAAATATCTATGAAATTAAAAAAAAAACACGTTCAAAAACAATTCAAAAAATTGATTTAAGTAGTTTTGCAGTTTTGATCACAGATGTACTCATATTTTGCTTTATTATAGTGTTTGTATAGTCTGTATTTATTATTAAGGTAGACTCCAAGCCCCTCGGTGGGGACGTATAGTGAGCTGGTGATGATGATGATAATGATGATGATGATGATGATGATGACGATGATAATCTGTATTGTGTACTTAATACAGTCTATGATGTAATAAATATTTAAAATTTTACGTATAATATAATCCAAAAACAATTTCTAAGGTTATCAACATTGCATAACGTACTACTGTAATAGATAATTTATAATATAATGTAATAATGTAAATTACGCCGGAATCAACAATATTCGGTTATAAAATTAAATATTTGTCGATGTTTATGTGTATACAATAAACATGGTACTATTTTAACTTTAATTCTATTTAACACTAACTGTTGCACGCGTCTTCGTCTGCGTGAAATAAAAAAAAACACAGCGTTTGTTACTCATCGATATCGTAGCTTTTTTATAGTGCAGGATTTTTTAAATCAGGTCAGTAGTTTTTTAATACATACAAAAATACAAATCTTTATAATATTGGTATAGGCAACAAATTGTCATGTCCGCATTGATATTATACAATAGGTTTTTAATATCTTTTTAATCCTATATTCCTCTGTGTGTGTAATATTTCTGTATTCGGATTTGTTTATCAGTCCTTCACTACTGTCTTTATCTTCTTTAGTCCATACACTTTAGTCTCAAATAAGTTACTTCAGGCTATGACTAGATTCTCTACGTTTTAACTAGTAATCGTTGTTCATCAGACTACGCGATATGTCATGATCGTGTCTAAGCCTACGGGACTCAATTGCGTCTCGAGCATCTTGTCCGGGACTTCACTACGCGGTTACCTCTCAATTTTTAATACCGCAGGACTAGATATACGTAAATCGTACTTCCGGGACCGCGGGAATCGGTAATACGTGCGTTTCACCAATCACGTGGCACGACGGGCACGTGATGCATGCTCACGTTGCGTTTACGTTCAACTTCTGCATTGCTATTGAGGTACTTTCGACTTGTTTTGTATTGTTTTCGAAATATAATTCTTACAGAATAATTAGTTTTGAGTAAGTGTTAATAGGTTGAGTTAGCGTCTATTTATGTAACACGAGTTGTCGCCCGCAAATATCGTTAGCGCAAGTTTATACCACCCATTACGCCATTTTGACAGCGCGGAATTAAAAAAAAAAGTAGCCTATAATGTGCCCGTCTATGTAATAATAATAATAATAATAATAATAACTCATTTAATCCATTCAGAACGTAAAATAACATAACAAACAACAAACAACAGAATAATCGAATATACACGAAGCACTTACATAATTGGCAAATTTAAAAAACAAATTAAAAAAAAAAAAACAAAACGTAAAGATATTTTATCAACTTTGGAGTGCTGAATGGATAAGGCCTTTACTCAGCTATGGTGCTTATTTGTAAAATGAGCGCTGATGTTCCGTAAAAGCCTTTACGTCAGAACGTCAGTTGCAGCAGTAAATTTATTATTAGTAATTCGAGACCAAATATACGTAGTACGAGTATGTCAGCTACCCTTCAGTGAAAGTCCGGTCAAAATCAGACTAGCCGTTTCGGACAAGCCGCAACTTACGTGATAACTCGTGCGCACAGCAAAGGAGTGGAATAAGTTGCGGGCGTCAGTGTTCCCGTCAAGTTATAACGTGGGTGCCTTTAAGAGCAGGGTGAATCGGTACTTACTAAACTAGCGCGTACCATCCTTCGACCACATCTTCACCTTGGTCTAGGTGGGATAGTGGTCAAACGCTGGTTTTTTGCAATTAAAAAAAAAAAGAACAATCACCATTTTTCACCGTTTTCCCAGAATAAGGCGTTGTTGGAATAGGTATTTGGATGTGCAGTTTAAATAGTTTTATCTGTTGTTATTGTAAACAATGTTCAATTACAATTTTAAAGTAAAAGTGTATCTTTACAACTTTATTTTTTTATATCTGTTATGTCGTTGTAAATCGAAACTATTCAAGAAACATTTGCTAGCTTTTTTACAATTTTGATGTATTCCGTACTCTTGAAGATTATTTAGTCTGTGCTATTAAACAATACCATTTATCTTTATATAAAATAACAATATTAACTCTGTAATTGCGATCCAACTCATTATTTAAATATTTATGTCATAGTTTTAAAATGTCGGAATTCTTCTTGTTATGTTAATAATCGGATAGTAGTGAGATGTCAAAAATAAGAGTGTTTTGGCTCGACACGACGGCCATATTGGTAGTGGCGAGCGTGGATACATGGAAGAACGGTGTTATTGGTAAGGTTATTCTGTACAAATTGGAAGGAAAGATAAGGTAAAGAAGACTATATTTAATTAAAGCATAACATGGCTGAGACGCCCATATATTCAAGTACATATTGCTAAAATTAATACAATTTACAAAACGTTTTCGAATATAAGGTTTCTTAATTTAGTAGATTTTTATTAAAAACATCTTTATTTATCTTACGTACATTCGTTTGCGCAATTTCTTGTACACCAAAAGTTTTCCTTTCTCGTAACATATAAATACATAACTAAATAATAAGTAGTACTTGAACCTTCTATTCATTTTATATAATATCTTTAAACTGATATAACGTTAACTTGTATAAGTTTTATAAATAACATTCGATGTAAACGCAAAACGTGACAACGGCATTAACCGTGCGGACAAACTTTAAGTTTCAACTTATTACGTACTTCGATATATTCATAGTAATGGAATCAATTTAGAAATATTTTACATAACCAAAACAATTATAGAATTTTCTAGAAGTTTTTCTTGACTTATCGAATTTGTTAAGTTGAATAGTTGTTTTTAAAGTACAGCACGTTATTGGCAAGAGCGTTGCATGTGACGGTCAAAGGGGGAGGCAGATTATTAAGAGAGTTAGTTGTAAAACTCATTATCATCTTGCCCTTGTCCCTAAGGAGGGTCGGCACAATATGTGCTCATCCATACATCTCTATCAGCCGTCATATCTGAATCCATTCCCTTCTTAAGCATATCCTCTTTCACACAATCCATACTTTCTTCGGTCTTCCTCTACTTTTGTATCCATCCACATTTAATCTTAATATTTGAAATGAAATGAAATGAAATAGCCTTTTATTCATAATAGCTTACAAAGAACTTATGAACTAGGTATACAGAGTTACACATTTATTTTTTCTTCGAAGCTATCTGTTTGCCAGTCGGCAAAGGCCTCCTCCATCATATTTATAATTCTAATTTATAATTATATTATTTAATCTTGTTAATTTTGGTTTCTTCTGTATTTAGTTTTTATTTTTTGTAATGTAGTTGTCCTTTTTTTCCTTGTAATATTTATGAATATTTTGTTTATAGTATATAGTATATTTTCTTATAATGATGGAGGGTCGTGGTCTTCTATCCCCCACGATGACCAGTCGGCTTGGGGAATGATTTTGTTCTTCATTTTTATTTTATTATTTGCCAGTTTTCTAAGTTTTATGGTTCCCGCTTACCGGTTATAAGTTCTTATGATAAAGTTAAAGAGTTGGATCGGGATCTTATTACATCGATATTATTTTTTCTATTAGCTTTGATGGAACTTAAAATTTGTTGTTTTTTGGTATGTATTCTTGAAGCCGTGTCGGGAGATGTAGATAGTTCTCTTTTCCTTTTATCGTTATTTGTGTTTGGTTCTTTAACAACCAGTTGATCATACTTTAGGTAAGCTATGTTACCTTTTTTCTTTTCTTCTTGCAGTTTTGGTAGTAAAGCCTTCCTCTTCTCTAAGACATCTTTTGTATAATCTTCTGTTACATAAACTTTTTTTAAGCTCTTTTTGTTCTTCATAATTTCATCCCTTTTCCATCTATTTAGAAAAGTGCACAATACAGGTCTTGGTTTGTTCGCCACTTTACTTTTTCCTAAGCGGTATAATCTGTTTACTTCACTTTCTTCTATAGTCACGTTAATTTCATCTTTAAATTCTTTTTGAATGCTCCGTAATAGCTCGGAAGTTGATTTCTCTTTCTCCTCTAGTCCAAAAATTATGATATTGTTGCTTTTCTTTTCCCTTTTCAAGTATTCTACCTCTTTTTCTAGTTTGCCGACTTTTTGCATAAGTTTTACATTTTCTTCAATAATAGGAGTTAGTTTTTCCTCTATTGTATCCATAATATTCTTTGTTATAGTTTCTCTAAGTTCAATTGTTTGTTTATGCATTTCCAGCTTCATTTGATCAAATAGCATTTGAAACTGTATGTCCATGTTGATCATTTATTATACAACTCGTCGTAAATTTTTGGTATAATATATATATATTATTATGGTAAAATGTACTTCGTGCGCTGGTAACACTGGGATCAATATTTAACTGACATATTGACAGTTAACTTTATCTGTTGGTTATATGTCAAATTGACATTAAACAATCAAAGAAAGCTGCTAGTTGCGGGTAGCGTTGAAACAATTGACAGCAATAATTTTAGTCGTAAGTGAAGGTAGCATTCTAACCTTTGTTAAACTAGCGTATTATTGCTTTATTTACCTTGTTTTCGAAGGAAATCCAAAAGTTATTACTTCTTAGTCTTCCGACACATTAATGTTCTGTATGTTAGCACCTTTATGCCTAAATGTTGCTTATAAATATTTTTAAACGGCGATTTGTTGTGGATAGATATTACTAAGGTATTGACACTTTGACGTCCGGAAACGGAAAAAAATCTTAATATTTAGTAGTACTTTTATCCGAAGACGATGTTTATCGAGTTTTAATTTGTTTTTTGTCAAAAATTGTTTAGATATTGAGTAAGGTACATAATTAACGTAGGATTTTAACCACATTAGTATTTAGAAATTGTTTTGATTTCTTTTACAATTTAAGATCCTGTAGCGCCCTCTTGGCAACGCCAATCTAACAATTAAATAATGAATTATTACAAAATATGTGAAGTTTCCTTCAATGTGTTGTATGTTTTTATGTATTCTGATTAAATTACGTAAGCCTGCATCATGTTTATGTGTAACAGATGCAATTTCCATTACAATACAACACTGAGGCAAATCCATTATTTATTTGCTACGAACATTTCGCCACGAGCAATAAAAATGCAAATATTCAGACATTGTTATGTGGCCATCGTAACTAAGGTTAGGGCCACGGCCGATAGGGCGGTACACGTGATCGAAGCAATCTTGTTAACTAATTGCCGATTTTATGCCTCGCGATTACAATAGTATATATATAACCTTAAATAATTATGTATTTAGAATTAAATCAATTCAGGAAAGGACGGTGCTTGTGTAATTCATACCACGAAAGAGATGGATGGACTACGTGAAAGGTGACAGAAAGGAGTAATGACTGAGATTACGTATGATAGAGTTATTTGGAGGATGAAAACCCGGTGCGCCCTTCAGCAGGATTAGGTAGGGTGATGATCTCAATGTGGTATCAAGGAACTGATCATTGTAGCTGATCTTCGTGCAGACTATTGCATGCTTAATGTATTGTGAATAAGCCAGTAGGTAGGGCCAGTTATTGTGTGTGTGATTTCACTGGATATCGGCTTCTTAACTTCGATCTTTTAAATAAGCAAAACGATTAAAACATCTTGAAACCTATTTCTCTTGATAAATATGAGATATCCAATCTTACTAATATAAATGCCATGGTTTGGATAGATGTTTGTTAGAGATTGTAGTCTGAACTGCTGAATGGATCTTGATAAAATTTGGGATAGAAGTAAAACATAGTCTGAAATAATGCATAGGCTACTAAGTTTTTGTTAATTCCGCGCGGACGTAGTCGCAGGGGAAAGCTAGTGGTTATATAAAACATGACTTATTTAACCTTATCTACAGACATATGGAAGGTGTTATCAAATAACATCTAAGCTGGATGTAATCGTGATATAACTTGTCTTTAAATATTGTTTAAAGACAGATTATAATCACGTATTTATGTAATGCAGTCAAGTTACAATCCAATGGAATGTTAAAGTACGTGGGTTATTCACGTAAAGTAATTAAAAATAGTTATAAAGAATGTTTTTCTTACTACTCAAGTATATTGTCATTAAATTCTCTCTTTTGATCACAAATAGACTGAGATAGAGCCCGAAAATTCCTCGCTCGTATTAAAATACTCTCTTAGCTTCTTGAACTGTAAAAAAGCCGTTCTCTTCTTTGAAAAAATTTAGTTGTAAATACTAAGATATGTTAATCACGCTACATACGCTCAGTTTTAATAGAATAGTTCAACTGAAAGAATTTAGTGTAAATATGCTGGCTTTTACGATATAGAAAATTGCAAGTGCCTCTCTGAAGTAGGTACGTCGAAAGCTTCAAAGAATCAGGACATAAGAAGATACATTGCGTCTTGAAATATTACAGTAAAAATCTGTTTTCATAACATTCGATAAGATCACTGAGACTACAGTAAATAATTGTTTTGGTGGAACATGAGACAAGGGGTCACGTTTTGAGTTCACGTGCCACAGTAAACGTTTTTGGTGCACGCGCGTAAAGATGTTCATATAAATGTATTTAATTAACACAATTTGCATAACAATTATATATTTAAATGATAGTTATAATAAATAATACTAATAACAGAATATTATTTTTCCTGCTAAGGAATGTAATATTGTGGGCGAATTCCGTTCTAATTTTACATGTAACAACAATGTTATATAAGTTATATTTTGATGTACTAGCAAAGCAAATATTCCAATAATATCAGAGATTGTCAAACTTTTTTTTTCGAAGTCGCATTTGAAAATTCCACGTATGTCCTTCCACCCTCTATCATATTCTTCTCCAAGTTCCTGTTACTTTGTTTCCCGTGATCTTTTATTCCAAGTTTTATTTAGATTACAGGGTGTTCTTAAAACACTTTGGGAATGACTGTCTCACGCGATGCGCAAACAGACACGTAATCGGTTTCATTTACAAGTTACCACGTGCTGTTTGTCGCGTGACTTTTATGTTTTGTTTGAAGCTATAAAAGTGTAACATTTACAACACACAAGAACACTGAATAAAAACATAGTTTAACTAATATAGATAATGTTGTTTTGATTGAATCTTACTTACCCGTACATTTTTTGGTATCGGAGGGAAACTTCAAAAGATACCCTGTCTTTTTTAAGGAGTGATTTCTACACACTAAAAACCCTCTCGCTGGTCAATCTCAGATGTGATATGACAGTCTTGGGATCCCCAATGGAACGCACTGGTACCGGCAGATACCGGTCCTGGGGAACTCAGGATTATTTACTTACTTGATGCGTAATATTTATGTTTATTTTTCAGTAATGTATATTAAGTGTTATATGTATGTAGTGAATTCAGATATGCCGGCTGATAGCGATGTATGAAAGAGTACATAATGTATAGATATATAGGGAATATGGGAGGGTAATGATGATGGCGATGATGATGAGGATGATGAATCTATTTTTAGTTATAATATCCTTCTCACAATCACGTGTATAACAAATGTAACCAGTTATATATAAATGTTATTCCAAGTATATTCCGAGTATCTTAAGATTTATGATATGATTATGTAACGATTTTGTTTTTAAAATCGCGAGACTTCGTCCGATTCAAGTCCAAGGTCGTTCCAAAAAAAGGTGCGCCGCCGAAATTATCTTATGAGAAAAAAAAAACTTAATAAATACTGCACGTGAGATGGTCACGTGTATTCAAAACTTGGCTGCGTTAAAAGCATTACGATAAGCCAACAGAATACTTCCACAATAAATAATGAATAAATCATTTGAGGAAACAAAACGAAAACTTTGATGTGGACATTAAATTTAAAAAAAAAACTTGTTGTTTCAAATCGGACTAATATTATGTAATTTCCGTATTAAATATTTAACACAATATTTAAGAAACCCCGGTCCCTATCGTCTTCAAATGAATTGCGTAAAAACTCAAATTTGTTGTGTGTGTGTGACTCGCAGTGTTTTTTACTCCCTTATTGGGGCTGTTTGGGTACAAATCTTCAACTATACTTGCGCCAGCAGCTAAAGCATCTCTATCTATCCCTAGAGGGGAAACCTTCCGAAGCCTCCGGATGAAAGGCGCGCAACTATAGGACCCTTAGTACGGTAACGCGTTCTCTCAAATAAGAGATCCTCAGAGCCATGGAGGCTAAAGTGGGAATCCCCGCCTCTCCAGCCCCCGGCGACGGATTTGATGCTAGGCTCTGCCGCCGACTACATCGTTGTAGAAGAGTAGTGTTAACTATTTGGGCCTACAGAACTATCGAGCCACGCTTTTTCTGACATTTTTTTACTAATATTAAAAATGGGAAAGTTTAGATGGATGGATGTTTGTTACAGTTTGTAGACTAAATGACTGAATGGATTTCGACGAAATTTGGTTTAGATGTAGAGGATAGTGTGGACGAATACATAGACTTACTTTTTCTTTATTCCACACGGACGGAGTTGCGGGCTAAAGCTTTGAAAAGTTTTCCGTAAAACGAAACTCACGTATGAAATGTGTACACACAGTTATTGTATGTTTGAACCGATACCTATTATTAGAGTAAAAAGTCTTAATCACAACTATTTTACGAGCCATTGTTCTTTAGTATTAGTAAACATTAAGATAGCGTAGAAATGAATGGCTCCTAGATCACGTTCACAGCCATATCGAAGACTTTGCGTGAACGCACGTGAGACCTAACGCGAGAAAAGAGGTTTAGTTTCGAAACTATTTAGTTATAATAATTAATTGTTTTATTGTAAATATTTTGTAAGAATTAGGAATTTTACAAATACAATACAATGAGTATCGGAAGGAAATATTTCGACATAAAACTTACTTAATATTTAGGGAACAATATAGATGTGAAGAAATCTGAATTCAATGGCAAGATAGAGGAATTAAAAGTATTCTTCCAATGTTAAATGCAAACGAAGTTATTGCAAGTACAATAATTAAAGAAAAACGTACTTAAGAATGCCTTTTTAACCTTTCCAACTTTAACATTTAATTGACAGAAGGTGTCAATTATTAATTTTATATCAATAAATTAGATAACACATATCTGAATTAGATAAAACCATCTTGAATGTAAATTGCTACCGATGTTACAAATTAAACAACATAAACAAGCATTACTTAGTAAGAGATATTCAATATTAGCTAACGTTGCATAGATTATGAACATTTAAAAGATCGTTTCGAGTGCATAGTTGGCTTATCTGCAGTGGCCACGCTGCAGGCAACGTGCCTCGCACACGTGCGCGTGCGCACATGCACTGTAACGCGAATTAACAATGTTTAGACTTAGATTAGGCGTTGCGTAATTACATTCATTAATACACGGCTGAACAGCATTGAGTGAACAGGAAGTGGCGATAGTAGCAATGTTGATGTCTTAGTACGAGTAGATGTTTATGGAGAAAAAGGACAAAGTAAAAGTTACAGTGTGTTAGTTGGTACAAGCTGAAGGTAAAGTTTTAGAAATACTGCTGCAGATTATTAAGGATTTGCCTATGTTTGTATATAGATAGTTTCGTGGTGTCGGAAATATGGAATGGTCATGTGATAAATTCAAGTGTGTAGTGATTGCGATGAAAGGAAACAAATCATTGGCATCGTCTAAAGCAGATATCATTAATATGGTCTTATTCGAAATAGTGTGGAAAAATAATGTGGAAACGAGCAAGCGGTTACCTAGATCGCCGAA